GATTCCTGAGGGTAAGATTTATTGCCCTGTTTTGTTAATTCCTTTCTCGGTCTGGAGCACCTACTTTATTAGCTTGTCGTGTGTGCTGTTATATGAAGTTGCCCAACCCCACCTCCCCCCCAGCCAAGGTGGACTCACCTTTTTAATATCTTATTTTAACGACTTTTCAGCATCCCTTAACACCTCAACGGGACCTGGGACAAAACACTAACTCTGGCTGGGCGCTTACTTAACTAGCGTTTGTTTTCTTTATATCATTTTATAGCCAAGGAAATGGAGATCTAGAGTATAAAAAGGTGGTGTTGAACTTTGTCCAAGGACACATAGCTGGTAGGAGGTAGAGTAGGAATTTGCTTCAGGGCCCTTGTGCTGTAAGTAAATATTTGTCCAGTGGGCTAGTGGCTCTCATCTAGGGCTGGTTGTGTACCCTGGGGGGCAGGGAACATATGGCAATGTCTGGAGACATTTTTGGTTGTCACAACTGGGGAACTGCTTCTGGCATCTAGTGGAAAGAGGGAGAGGTGCTGCTGAGTATTTCACATTGCAGAGGATGCCCGATGCCTGTGACACAGAATTGTCCCGGCGGCAAACATGGTTAGTAGAGAGGTCTGCCAACTCTGGACTGTATGAACAGATCTTCATCCAGCACTTTCTCTTTGCTGTACCACTTCTTAGTGTAACTCATGCTCCCAGCGCCCTCTTGAGGGGGACAGAGCTGTTAGTACTCCTATACTGCAGGTTTACAGGGGGGAGAAATTCAAGCCAGAGAAGGCAAGTCACATGTTCATGTCACACTGCTGATGAATGGCAGAGCTGAAAGTCAAAAGTAGGCAGCTGGTCTCCAGAGCCTAACTCAGCTGCGAGGTTAGCCTGGCACATGCAGCTGCCAGGGGCTCTGGAGTTGGGTCTGAGTTTGATTCCTGGCTGCTTCCCTCTCTGAGCATTCATTTCTCCTTCTGTAAAGTGGGCCCTACTTCCTCAACTCACAGGGCTGTTGGGAAGGTAGGGTGGGGCAGTGTAAGGCATATGCCACTCAGTGACTGTCTCCTAAGGTGACCAGCACACCTGTCTCTGATCTGGGTCATGGGTCTGTTGCAGCTGCTCCATTGGACCATGGGGCTGATTGACACAGGGAATAGCCTTATATTTATCACTCAGTGTGTGCTGTCTTGGGGACAGGCCCTGTGCTGGGTGATCCCAGGGACCCAGAGTATCATCCCGCCTAGTCCTTTCCCTGAAGAGCACTTTTTGGGCAGCCTGGGTAAGGTGATCTGGGGTTCCTGCTGAGATTGCAGCCAGGTTGACTGAAGTCCATGGCCTGCTTTCTGTTTCACCTTCCTCCCTAGCCCCAGCAATATCTTTCTCACAGCACAGCAGGCTTCTGTGCAGCTTTCCAGGCTCAGTTCTGGCCCTTTCCTGCCTGCCCTAAGGTGGGGTTGGGTGGGAAGTGATGCTGTGGCCATCCCTGGAGCCGGACAGGTGTGTGTGTGTGTGTGAGTTCAGGCTCTGCTACTTAGTAGCTCAGTGACTTTGGGCAGAATGCCTTCACTTTCCTATCTGCTGCATGGGGTGATAACACCAACCTCATGGCATTGGTCATCCCATAAACTCTCTTTGATTCCAAGCCAGGTCTTGGGGCTGGGAATAATGCCTGGTCTCTTGCCCACATGAAGCTTAAATTCTAGTGCGGAAAGAAGACACACCAATTAGGTAACTCCAGATCTCATTAAATATAAAAGAAAATAAGGGTGCTGTGGTAGGGAGCAACTAGGGTGAAGCACAGGGGTACAACCTTAGAACGGGTGGTCTGGGGAGGCTACCTGAGGGGGGTTAGTTGCATCACAGCCTTGATGATGATGATAAGAAAGCCAGCTATACAAAGACTGGTCAGGGGTCTTTCTCTGTAAAGAGCCAGGTAGTAATACCTTTGGCCTTGTGGGCAGCCTTGCAGGTGACTGGCTCTTGCAGCTCTGCTGTAGTAGTTCCAAAATGACATTTTATTTTAAAAACTTCTCAAATATTTAGAAGTCTGAACCCATTTATACCCTTGAAAGTTATTGAAGACCCTAAAGTGTTTTTATTTATGGCAGTCATATCTATTGAAATGTACCGTATTAGAAATTAATACTGAGAAAATTTCAAAGTATTTATTAATGGATTTAAAAATAGCAATAATATTTTTTAATGAAAAATAACCATGCTTTGTAAATCAAAAAAGTTGGAAATGTGGCATTTTTTCACATATCTCTTCAATGTCTGGCTTTGAAGAGAGCTGGGTTCTGAAGTCTGCCTCTGCACTTAGCCTATGGCCACATGCCTCTGAAAAACCCCACCATATGCTCACAAGAGAATAGGAATGGAAGAGGCAAATAATGTCTAAAAGTTATCACTAACAGGTTGATGTCACAGTAACCCCACAGGTCCCTAGGCTAACCCAGGTCCAGTGTTCTAGGTGAGGGTTTCTGGACCTTGGCACTATTAACATTGGGGGCTGGTCATTCCCTGCTGGGGCCTTCCTGTACCCTGCAGGGTATTGAGCAGCATCTCTGGCCACCTACCAGATGCCAATAGCATCACTCCCCTCATCCTCTGTCTCCACAGTCAAAAACATCTCCAAACTTCTTCATATATCCGCTGGGGAGATTGAGAATGGCCACTCTTGGCTGTGGTCATTATCTTCCTGGTCAAAGCTGCAACCAGTCTGCATTGCCACCTTAAGGGAGAGGGAAGGAAGAAGACAGAGCAGATGGCTTCCTTGGGGGATAGAGAAGGGGAAAGGGGCAGGTGGGTGTGGGGGCTCTCAGCATTCAGAGTGGATTCATTGGTATAGTGGTATGTCCCCCCATTCCTATGCTGAAACTCTGACCCCCAGGGTGACAAGGTTGTGAAGGTGGAGCCCTGATGCATAGGATCACAGGCAACTCTCTTCCTCTCCACTCTTGGCCACGAGAGGACACAGAAGGTGACCACCTGCAGCCCAGTGGTGTGAGCACCTTGATCTTGGACTTGCAGCCACCAGTACTGTGAGAAGTGGATGTCTGTAGTTTATAAGCCTCCCTTTGTGTGGCACTTTATCACAGTAGCCCAAATGGACTGAATTTCTTTTCTTGGGCTGGAAGTGTAAGCTCAGGGCGCCATTGTGGCTGGTTCTTGGCGAGAACCATGCTCAAGGCTGCAGATCCTCCACCCAGAAGTGTCCTTGTGTTGTAGGGAGATCTCTGGTGTCTCTTCCTCTTGTAAGGTCAAAGTCCTGTTCAATGAAGGCCCCACTCTCATGGCCTTGCTTAGCTTAAACTACCTCCTTATCCCTCTCCCATGGTCACCTTGAGATAGCCGAAGTATGTGAATGGGGGGACAGTTCAGTCCTTGCAGTTAATGAGGCAGAGGTTGGGGTGACTTTGGGGTAGGCACCCTAAGGTGCCTGCCTCAGGGTCAGAGAGTCCAGAGTATGATCTGTGCAGGACAATAGGAGCCATGCTGATAGGAGCCTTCCTCTCCAGGCCCGTTGTAAGCCCTTCCTGGGTTTGCTAGTCAAGTCTACCCATGGTGTAGAGGACCTGGGAGGGGGTTACAGTCACCCTTTCCTCATCCCCATCTTGGAGGCCTGCTTGGGCAGCTGCACCCTTGGGTCCCAGAGTTTGTGGTCCCATAGGGGAGGCCACTGAGGCTCAAGGGACAGAGGACCTCACCGGCCAACTCCCTCCACAGGTGTTGTCTGCTCAGAGGTCCCATGGAGGTTGCTGCACTGCCTGTCAAGCAGGAGGCCCTGGCCGAGGGCTTGATGCTGGACTCACCGTGGCACCGCTTCCGCCGCTTCCACCTGGGCGATGCACCTGGGCCCCGTGAGGCGCTGGGGCTGCTGCGTGCCCTGTGCCGGGACTGGCTGCGGCCTGAGGTGCACACTAAGGAGCAGATGCTGGAGCTGCTGGTGCTGGAGCAGTTCCTGAGTGCACTGCCCGCGGACACGCAGGCATGGGTGTGCAGCCGGCAGCCACAGAGCGGAGAAGAAGCAGTGGCCTTGTTGGAGGAGCTCTGGGTGAGGAGTTGGAGGGATGGGAACAACGGGCTGTGGGCAGGGGAGAGACGAGAGGCTCACCTCTCCTGAGCAAAGATGAGGACTCAGAGGTATGGTGCCCTTTCTATAGTCATGGCTTATGCAGAGGAAGGACACAGACTAAAACCAACCAGGGAGGTGAAGGGCAGGGGGTACAAGGAGGTTCCTGCAGGGACATAGGAACCTTTCCCTGTGGACTCTGGTGCAGGTGCTGACTCTTCTGTACCAGCCAGGGAGCTCCTTAGGTTGGCGTTCAGAGTTCTTACTTACTATATACTTACATATATACTTACTTACTATATACTTACTATATACTTACTATATACAGCATATAGTATAGCTGCCTTTTGCAGCCAGCCTCACCCTCCAGTCCCAGGGAGGTCCATGTTCAGCATTGCCCAGACCCCACCCCAAGTCCATTGTTGCTTTCTGATCTCCAGGGCCCTTGGCAGACAGATGCTCCTGTCAGGATCAAGATAATCCCGAATCATTTCCCCTCATTAAGATCCTTAATTCGGTCACATCTCCAAAGTCCTTTTTGCCCTGAAAGGCTGCATGGTAACAAGATTCTAGGATTGGGGCATGGACATCTTTAAGGCTATTAGAGGTGAGGTGAGCACAGGGTGCATTGAGGGGGTAATAGAACTAGCATGGAATGGGGTGGCCTTGAGGTTACTCTCTTTAGTTTGCATGAATCCTCAGGCTGAGACTCAGCATACCAGTTATCATGTAAGTGGGTTTCAGCCACATTGATTACTCTGAGCTCAGCCATCTGTTTCTTTGGCATTTTAATGTCCTTTTATAAATAGATGGCAAATGTAGATAGTAGCCATTATTCCTTTTAGGAAAATTTTAAAAATATCTCCCATTTGGGGAAGAGTAGGGGTCCTGTTGGTTCAGGGATCTGGAAGTTTGGGAGTCACAGGCCACATGGCTCTAAGGACTCTTCTCAGTTCTTCAGAGTCTGGGGGTGGGGGTTACAGAAACCTGCTGGCAAAGACAGCCTTGGTGTATTTATTTGTGACTTTTTTATAGCATGTTTAGCCCTAACTGGAATGCAGACTCACATGGGTAGGAGCCTTATGGTCATTACTGATGTGTCCCTGGTGCTTAGACAAGTGTCTGGTATGTAGTAGTTCCTTGTTACAGAAGGGGTGAAGGGATGAGTAACTTCCCTGGGCCTCCTCTTGCCCTGCCTTGAAATGCAAGGCCTAACACAGGAGGGCCAGGGCACAACTGCTTCCTGACTTCCATGGAGAGAGTCTGATCTCCTAGGAGGATCAGATGCCTTCTCTATTGTCACTCAGCATCCCTCCTGGGGCATGCAATAGAAAAGGGAATAATTTGAGCTGTATCGGGGTAGGGATGAGATTGGGCATCTGTCAGCCTGGAAAACCTACAGAAAATTCTAGCTGGAAAATAGCACAGGTTGGCTGTTCAGTGTAAAAGCAGAAGGCACATAGGTCAGTAAGCCCAAACTCAGTCTTTTAAAAGAGTAATAGATTAGTGCAAACCTCAGCACATAGGTTAGGAACAAAAGAAGAGACAACACAAACTTCAGTGGTGGGAATAAGCCCATCTGTGGAACAGAGTAGATGTGATGGATTTAAGACCTAATGGGAGCACCATTACAGCTTACACAATAGCTTTGAAGACTGAGATGAAATGGACAGCTTTCTAGGAAAACCTAAGTCACCAAAATATGCTCACGAGGTAGCAGCAGATCTGAAGAGTCTAGAAGCCAGAGAGGGAATAAAATCAAAATAGTAATCAAAGACCTCCCCTGCAAAAGGTCCCAAGTCCCAGTGGTTTTATGTATAAGTTCTGCAGACCCTCAAGGAACTAATCTTTATCATCCCTCACACACTGTTTTAGAGCAGAGAGAAGGCAGGAAGCTGCCCAGTTTATTTGGCAATTCTGCCAACACCCCCCACTGTCCCCCCACACCAACAAGCCTAACCAGACAAGGGCAGCACCAGAAGAAAAAGTTGTAGGCCAGACTCACGTGGGAAACAGACACAGGAATCCTGAATAGACAGTAACTCCTTGATCCAGCAATAAATCAATTGGTGCATTATGACCAGTTTAGCTATGATAGGTACAGATATTTCATGATTAGGAAATGTCTCATACTTTGGAGCCAGCCAGACCTGGATGTGAGTTTGGCCTCTATCACTTCCAAGCTGGGTAACCTTGGACAAATACCCGGCTATGTAAATTTGACAGTTATACTCACACTTAAACAGTTTATTACACAGAAAGGACATAGATTAAAACTAGCCAAACACATCAGGGAACAAGGTCTAGGAGGATTCCACTCAGAGAGCTGGTTGCTGTCCTCACCCTGTGGTCTTACAGGAAGGACACACTCCTCCCAGCAACAGTTTACGTTCTAGCAACAGCATGTGACAACACACAGTGTTGCCTGCCGGGAAAGCTTCCCTGAGCCTTCGTGTCCCAGGATTTTGTTGGAGTTGGACATGTATACATGTCTGCGCTTTGTTTCCAGAACATAGCTTCCACCATGAGTCATGGTGTGTTGGTATAGCCTGCCCAGGTGGTCTAGGCCTCAGCAGAGCAAAGACTGTCCTAGTAGGCAGTGTATTCCAGGAGCTTGGAGGTGATTTCCCAGGAGCTGCAGGCAAAGGCCTAGGCCTGCCGCATAGCAGTATCCTCTCACTTAGGCTCACAAAGTCCTCAGAGGTTGGTCCTGGGTACTACTGTCACCTGTGTTGAGCTCTTGCCATATGGCACACAAAAGCACACAACAACAACAATGAATACCACTCAGCAAGACAGCACCTGACAAGGATGCACCTGTGAGACAATGGTACACCAAGGTTGTGAACCCTCATGGAGTTGTTTGTACAGTACTGCTAATGTAAGTGTATGGTGGTAAGTTTGCAAACTTAATTGTCAGACCTTCTCACAACCTGTTGGCCATTCTAGAAAAAGTGTTCCAAAGTGCTTTGAAGGGTGGGCTGGGCACTGGCATCAGTGCATAGATTTCCAAGGGGAGTACCTGGAAGGTGACCATAGTGATATTCAGCAGTGAGGTATGTAGCACTGTTTCTAGGATGAGTTCATGGACTTAATTGCCAGGCCTGGTATACTAAATGCTATAGAATTATACATTTTATATGGGTGCATTGTGTGTGTGTGTGTGTGAATTATACCTCAATAAAAAAAGTCAAACAAGATGTGGTAGGTAGGTACCCAGATGGGGATGTACTAAATCACACAGGCCCGGAAGCTTGTGCAGAAGATGGGAGAGCGTGTTCCAGGTAGTGGATCAGCATGTGCAAAGGAGGGGGAAGTCTGAGACCTGGGCATGCTTGGGACATAACACCAGTGACTGTAGCTGGAGCCAGAGGGCTTGGCAAGGGCTGGTCACACAGCCTTATGGAACACTGCAGACACAAGTGAAGGAGCAGCTTGAGGGGCAGGAATCACTTTACTTTCCACCAAAGCTGAGAAACGACCACATAAATTATTCATCCTGCCCTGTGAATTCACACACATTGTGGCCTTAAGGAAGGCCGAAGTGCTTGCTGTGGAATCCTTTCACCAGCTAATGGATTTTAGGCATTGCCAGTTTTCATCCCAGTGATTTCTCAGATTAGGGTGTAGCTGATACTCCAAAAGGATTTGAAACAAGTAAAATGTGGGAACAGGGGTTTGATTTGTATAACTCAAGGGTCAACTCTCATTTTTTGGCACCAGCAGAATTCTGATCTTTTCTTGGAGGCAGGGGCTTGAGGAGCCGTGCTAACAGTGTGAAGAACCCAAGAGCAGAGTCCATCTGAAACTTTCTCTTTGCCTTCTGGCTGGTGCCATCCTGCTCAGCAGCTGCTGTCTGAGCTGGGAAAGGTTCTGTTTCTAAACTTAATTTACTTTGTATCAGAGTTGAAAATAGTTCACACAGTCTGTACTTTGTTAAGGAGTCTGCATTTTATCCAAAGGATGGGAAGAAGGTAAAGGAAGATGGAAAGCAGATGTATTAGTTATCAGTTCAGGACAAACCATTCCAAATCTAGTGACTTAAAACAATAGATATCTATCATCTCAGAAGTGTCTGGGAGATGGGTCAGGAGTTTGGGAGCATCTCTTAGGCAGGTGGGCCTGGCTCAGTCTCTGGCAAGGTGACAGTTACAGTGTTGTCCAGGCATTGTCATCAGAAGGCTGGCTGCTTCTCAGATGGTCCCTGGCCCAGTGGGCAGGAGGCTGCAGCTCCTCATCTGTGAGTCTCTGCATAGGTGGTCTTGAGCGCCCTCCAGCACCACAGCTGGTTTCCTCCAGGGCAAATGACAGGATTCAATGAGTGCTTGAAGGTGGCAGGAAAAGAGAGGGAGGGAAATACAGGCCAGCATCAGGCTTCTCAATTTGGAATGTGGCATCTCTCATTTCAGGGACCAGCGACCTCCCCAGATCAGTCTTCAGCAATGAGGCCACCTCGGGATATGGCAGAAGGCTCTGGGGTCAGTGTTGGAAAGGAAGAGACTGAGATGATTCCCCTCGGTGAGCAGCTGCCCCTTGTCCCATATTCTTCTTAACTGTCTCCAGCACCAAGTGCCCTTTGTCTTTCATCTAAGTCAGGGACTGAAGACCTGCCGTCATTCTCTTGTTTAGTGAACACTGGGATCCGGGCTAGTGCTGACAGAGACATCCATTGTCCTTGGAGGAGCTCATGGCAAGTGGGGTCAGAGTTAGGAGGGCAGGTCAACTGAGGGTCATGAGAGCCCCATGCTGAGTACTGGCTGTGGCTGTGAGTAGTTGCTAGCACATTGAAATCCCCCAGCCACCCACAGAGAGACATGGCATTATTATAACATCCTAAAACCCTGGCACAGAGTTGAAAAGACTTGCCAGGTGCTGACAAGGCCAAGGTTTGACTCAGGTGGTCTGGGCCTTTGCACCCAAATACTCAGGCAGGGCCAGCCTCCTGCTTTCACAGGAAAGCCCCAGAATTGCTCTCATGGGCTGCAAGGAAGTCATTTGCTCCTCCTGACTCAGTTGGTGTGGCTTGGGATGCTGTGCTCTGTGCCAGTGACCACAGTGGTGTCCAAACCCACCCTGGGAGCTGGTTCCATCCCAGCACCCTCAGTAAGGTAGAGGGGAGCACCACAGGGTACTTCTTCAAAGGAGGCAAAACAGGAAGTGGGAGGCAGAAAACAAAATGTGTTCTCCAGAACAGACAGGCATCTTCTGGAGCTGAATGCTGGGGCCTAGTTATAGTCTTTCTCGGGGAGGCACTGAGTGAGCTCAGGACATAGGGACAGATGCAAACAAAGGTGACTTACCTCCCTAGAATTCTACAGAGCAGAGTGAGAGCTAGAAGGGACATGTTCTCCACCCAGCTTATCCATCTCCACTACCCACCTCCCACTTGACTTCTTAGATACCCTACCCACCTACCCACCTCTCCTGCCTCATAAGTCACCCACCCACCTATCTGTTCCTCCAGCGCTGACCTGCCATCCATCCAGCCATCTACCCTTTTACCAGCTAGTTATCTGTATACCATCTGTCTTCACCCCTTCACCCATCCTCCCTCATACCAGTTCACCCACCTACCCATCCAGAATCAATTATCCATCCATCAGTCCATTATTTTTTTTTTTTTTTTTGAGACAGAGCCTCAAGCTGTCCCCCCTGGGTAGAGTGCCGTGGCATTACAGCTCACAGCAACCTCCAACTCCTGGGCTCAAGCGAGTCTCCTGCCTCCGCCTCCCAAGTAGCTGGGACCACAGGCGCCCGCCACAACGCCTGGCTATTTTTTGGTTGCAGCCGTCATTGTTGTTTGGCGGGTCCGGGCTGGGGATTCGAACCCGCCACCTTAGGTGTACGTGGCTGGCGCCTTAGCCGGTTGAGCTATAGGCGCCGAGCCCATCAGTCCATTATTCACATCCATCATTCATTCATCCATCATCTATTATTAACCATCCATCTACAGTGCAGCCAGAATCCATGCATCCATTAGTCCATTTATCATTCATCACTGATATCCCATCATCCATCCCTCAGTGCATCATCCATCTGGTATTTATTGGACATTGACTGCACCAGGCACAGTGCTAGGTACAGAGAACCCAGCCCAACCCTCTTGCCACCCCACGCCCCCCTCTCTCTCCCTTGCCCCTCCCTTGCCCAGACTTGACCCTCCCTGACTTAGTGCCTTTATCCAGCAGGAGACACTGCCCCTGGGGCTGAGGTGCCAGCATCGGGGACTGGGAACTCCCAGGCCACGCGCCCTTATAAGCAGGAGCCTGGCAGTCCCCCGCTGCCCCCGCTGGCTCCTGGCCTGCCCAGCTTCCTGGCAGCTCCCAGCACGACCTCTTGTCCGGAGTGCGGGAAGACATCCCTGAAGCCGGCCCACTTGCTGCGCCACCGGCAGAGCCATTCTGGTGAGAAACCACATGCCTGCCCTGAGTGCGGCAAGACCTTCCGACGCAAGGAGCACCTGCGGCGCCACCGGGGCACGCACCCTGGCGGCCCTGGGCCGGCCCTGCGCCCACTGCCGGCACGTGAGAAGCCCCATGCGTGCTGTGAGTGCGGCAAGACCTTCTACTGGCGCGAGCATCTTGTGCGCCACCGCAAGACACACTCAGGTGCACGGCCCTTTGCCTGCTGGGAGTGTGGCAAGGGCTTTGGGCGCCGCGAGCACGTGCTGCGCCATCAGCGCATTCACGGCCGGGCGGCGGCCAGCACACAGGGGGCAGTGGCACCAGGCCCTGAGGGTGGGGGCCCCTTCCCACCCTGGCCTTTGGGGTAGTCCTGGCCCTTGCTGTAGCCACACCAGCTCCACCCTTCCCTCGTGTCTTCCCCCTCTCCCCCACTGCTTGGCTCCTCCCCCGTTCCCCTTTGTCCGAGCTTAACAGCGCTGGTTCCGGTCTTACTCCTCTCGCATCATGGCCTCCCTGTTCTCCCTTCCTGGTTTCTTCTCTCTGTGCCCTATGGAGGGTGCCTTGGCTAAACTATCCTATTCTCTCCCCTCCTCTCTCTCTCTATCCCCTTCACCCCCCTCTGTCCCCACCCAGCCTCCCTCCCTCCTTGGTTCCCTCTCCCTGGAGAGCAGCAATGAGGCCCTGGGCCCCAGACATGAGGAGATTGGCAAGGGCAGTGCTGGCCCCCCTTGATGAAACGAGGCTGATAGGAAAGGGGTCTGGTCCCTGGGAACCATCCCTTGGGGAACAAAGGTTCTGACACTGGACCCAGGTCTGGCTGTGGGCTCTCAGCCTCCAAGTCTCTCTGAGACAGAGGTACCTGCTCCTGGGAAGCTCATTGGGGACAATTCACCAGCATCCAGAGTAATAAAGTCACTGACCAAGCCTATAGATCTGGAGTGTGAGGCTTGTCAATGAGGCCACCCTCTGGGACTGTGCATTTGGGGCCCCCTTTCTTGTCCCCCTCTCAAATCCTCCAGATGTGAGGATGACTCTGGGAAGCCATTTAGGAAGGCTTGCGGGTGTGTGTGGAGTGTCCCCATCTGTATCCCCTGGAGGTAGGACTCATGGAAGGGGCCTGGCCGAGCACTGTGTGAATGTGGGGTCATGTCTAAGCCCTTCTCCAGGCTATGTGACTTTAGGCAGGTCAATCCTTCTGCGAGCATGTTTCCCCATCCTTCAGTGAGGGACTCCAAATATCTGTCAGTGGGTCTCTCAGGTGGCCTGTTTTGCCAAGAGAGTTCTCTGGTCTCCAATTGGGTGTGACTCACTATTGGGTGGAGGCTTTGGCCAGCTCTGTCTTTTTAGGGGGCCATTAGTCCCTTTTCCTTGGCTCAACACAGAGTCCTCGGTCCAGACCCTGGTTCCTTCTCTCCAGGGAGGAAGGCTCTAGCTCCTGCTGGGTGCACAGAGGGCAGCGGCTTTGGAAAGAGGAATAGGAGAGCTCTGAGTCTGACTGCTCCACTGGCATGTGACCCATCCTGGGCTGAACTTCACTCTGCCCTTGGCCCCTGAGCTTCTAGTCCCTGAGCCTTGCAGGGGCTATGGCTGCACCCTCCACCCTGAGTCACTGCTGTGTGCTTTGCAACCTTGGCTCTTGGCTGAAAATCCAACACTGATAGGTCTGACTGGCAAAACCTGTTTACAGCCAAGCCCTAGCTGCAAGGGAGTCTGGGAGAACAGCTGGGGACTGGCTCCACTCTGGTAGACTGAGGCTGTGTTAGGGAGGGCAGATGACTGCTGCAGGCACCCTCAACAAGGTCTTGGTGCCCTCCTCAGGCTGGCAAATAATGTACCCTCCTGAAAGGCCTATTTCTGAGACATCAGGTGATAAGTAAATTGCTAGCTCAGAGGGTCCTTTCTGCAGCATTTTTTGTGCACACTGAGAAGTTGTGTCTCTGGGTTCGCTGTGTGGCAGAGAAAAGGAGCTTGGAGGTCCTCAAGAGGGGACTGGGAGGAATGTAGGAAGTGAGGATTGGGTGTGCTGGGCCGGTCTGGGTCTGAAGACAGGGACTCACATAGTCATGTGGCAGCATCACTGTTGCACCTTCTCAGCTGAGCAGATGGCACAGGAGCTAAGGCAGCTTTACAAGTTCCCATAGTTGCCAAGGGGCTTTGATAGAGTTTGAACCCTGGCTAGTCTGCTGGATCCAGTGTCCATCGGGAGGCCTCTGATCAGTAGCTGACAACCTCTCCAGGAAGCAGCTAATAGTCAACCAATTTATACAAGGAATTTGAGGCCTGCAGTAGTTTAGCAATTGACACAGTATGACCCAGCAAAGCTAGGCATGGAATCCACCAGGAGTGGACCCTAGGCAAGATCTATCCTGCAGACATGATTTGTTTATTCTGCCTGTCTAATGTAAATCCAACTGATGCATTTAGAAATCAGAATGAGCATGTAGCTCATACCTGTAATCCCAAGGACTTGAGAGGCTGAGGCAGGAGGATTGCCTCAGGCCAGGAGTCTGAGACCAGCTTGGACAACATGTAAAGACCCCGTTTCTAGTTTTATTTTTTAATTAGCCAGACATGGTAGCAGGCACCTATAGTCACAGTTCTCAGGAGGCTGAGGCAGGAGGATCCCTTGAGCCCAAGAGTTGGCAGCTGCAGTGAGCTATGATGATGCCATTGTACTCCATGCTGGGCAATTCACATAACACTTTGAATTTAGAGACGCTCTAGAAATTCTGTATCTTCATTGCCATGTGGAAATGGTTTGAGTGGAGGAGAGGATGCCCCTTTGTAGATGGAACATGTGATTTCCACATTCTTTGGGGTGGTATTGTATTGTTGTATACATATTTAAGAGACAGCATCTTGCTCTGTTTCCCATATCTGGGATTATAGACATGAGCCACCACACCTCTCTGCACTGCTATTTCTCTTGTCCTGGTCCCCTGTAGAGATCTAAATTTGCAGATCCTGATTTAGACAAGGGATGATTTTTGCTACTACAATATTATAATAAGGGAAATTTCCTATTCCCAGTAGGAAATTTTATTCTCCCCTCCCTTTGCTCGTCCAGCTGTTGGGGAGAATCCAAGCCCTTATATCTTCCTGTTGAGCTTCTGGGAGGAACTTCACCACCAGTGCTCATAGTGGGAGGAGCAAAGGCTTTCCTTGGTGTGGTACCAGCAGCAAGAACGATGAGGACAGAAAGTTGTGGCCCTGCCATGTGGAAGATGAATGCCAAACCACACCAGGGACAGGAAGAGGAGGGGCTAATGGGACAAGCCTCACATCAACATGGAATGGGAGGCTTATCCAGGGTGCAGGAGTTGGGGGCTGACAGGATGGGGGCCAAGAAGAAAGGGGAAGCAGAGCATTAGGGCTTCTCAAGATCAGGGAACATCTCCACTCAGAAAATTCATTCCTCATTCATTATATAAAAAAATTGACTGAACACCAGTTGTATGCAATCCCTTAGGTGGTAACAGGGAACAAGGTCCTCACTCTCACTAGGGTTAGAGTCTGATGGGTGAGAAACACATAACTGATGTAAGATGGTGCAATTCTCTTTTTCATACATTGTCTGTTTATTCCAAAAATATACCCCAAATCCCTAGGAAGTGCCCTCTGTGACCTGGTTGGCAACCAGGGGAGTGGTGATAGGATAGGAATTGATGGCTTAGGGTAGGAAGAGCCTGCCTGGGGAGCTGACACTAAGAGGGACCCACCATGGGGTGACCTGGGGTAGGAATGTGCCCACCATGTTCCAGGATCACAGAGGAGACCCAGAGAGATGTCACAGGAACTGTGGGAGAACTCAGCAGGATTCAGGCAACACGAGGTCTTGTACCAGAGCTCAGATTCTGTTCCACATGTGGACAGCAGTTGGCATGATGGGTGGTAAATGGCCAGATGTGGAAGCAGGGAGACCAGCCATGGTGTCATCTGTCAGAGTCACTGGGTCTTAGACTGGGTTGAGGCTTGGGGACCACCAGGCACTGACTCAGTCACCTCACTTCTTCTGAATCACTACAATCTCCAGAAATGGAAACTCCAAGAGCACATGCCACCACCACCCCAACACCCACTGTTAAGGGGAGAACTGCGATTCAGACCCAGGCTTGGCTGGGTACAGACTTGGCTCCCTGCCCATAAAATAAGAATATTTACAAAATATTCATTATGAGAAAATTTTACAAAATATTTTCAAAATATTCTCTGTGTTGGCTACCTCTTCATAAAATGTTGTAATGACTATTTTTATAAGTAAAATTCCCTTTAGTTACAGTTTCCCCCCTCTGTATGTTGACTTTATGGTTGACCTTTGGGACACCCTGCATTAGTAAGAGAGCGCTGAGCTCTGTAATTGCTCATCTCTGTATGCTTGGAAGGATGGAAGAAGACACCTTAGAAACGGACTCCAGCATCTCAAGGGGACCTGCAGGGTAGTGGTGCGGCAGCGACACCAGGCGGTGGCAGCACTGAGGTGTCCGTGATGCCGCCTATGCAATGACCCCAATAAGGGGGGTGGGTCAGAGTATCTGTGTAACTGATGGAAGACAGTGAATCAAAAAATAAAAATGGATGAACAAGCTTCTACAGGATTATGCAATCAATTTCATCAGCAGATGGAAAGGAGGGGAAACAATGGTGTACCATGCCTGAGTATTTGCAGTCTTTAAAACTTGGTGATTTCTAGGGCTGGGGTAAGTGGGGCGTGAGCAGAGGTTCAGGGCTATAAGGTCACAGGTAGACAGGAGGAAGACATTCTTGGCTATAGCTAATAATAATGCAATGAAAATTGCCAGGAGTGTAAATTTTTAAATGCTTTTACCACACATACAAAAGTATGTGAGGTGCTGTTTATGTTAATTTGCTGGATTTAGTCATTTCTCCATGTAGATGTACACCATATTCAGTTTGTATTCATAAATTGTTTTCCTTCTGTTATTTTATTTCTTATTTTTTAAATCCATGCAATAATTGCACGTATCCATAGTGTACATGGGGATGTTTCAATATCTATTCTGTACAGTGACAGGGTCAGGGTAATTAGCATATCTGTCATCTCAAATGACCACTTCTTTGTGTCAGGGACATTGGACATCCTCCCTCCAGCTGTTAGAAACTATGTGATACATTACTGTTAACTATAATCATTCTACTGTGCTCTGGAACCCTGGAGTGTGTTCTCTCAGCTGTAATTTGTGTCCTTAACAAATCCCCCCCGCTCCACCCTTCCCTGCCCCACAAGGGTGTGAGGGGCTGGGTATGTTAATTAGCTTGATTCCATCATTTCACACGCTGTATATGGATCAAAACATCACACTGAACACCGAAAATATATTGAATTTGTATTTGTAATTAAAAAAATTTAAAAGGAAAATAAGTAAATAAATGAATAAGATAATGGACATCCCAAAAGCACCAAGCAGAAGAAGATAAGGAGTCATTCATGCAAGGCCAGGGGAGAACATTCCAGACAAAGCCAGCAAAGAAACGCTCTCGTTTCCCATTCTGGTCAATATCCTATCTTCTTTTCAGGTCAGCTAATATTATCTGTACACCTGCAGGGAAAACAAAAACTGGAACGATACAACCTGTTCCTTTGCAACGAAGGACCTTATCACCCCACATAACTGTCTCCAGTGTTCACTATTCTATGCCTCCCTCTTGTCCTGTCTTGTATTTTTCACAGTTGATGTCTGCTGCCTTTTGAAGGCTAAGACTGCTGCTCATTTCACCCCCCCCCCCATCATTGCTGCTGTCCTTGGACAAAATCCCATTGAGTCAGCCTTGCATCATCCACTTGATCACTTGTGTGGATGCAGCATGGTCATCGGTGACGTTTTCACATGGGGCTCTCACTTTTTGATCACTTCTGTAGCTCCATTCCATTCTGACTCACCTTGACTTCTCACAGAAATGTTTTTAGAATCACCTTTGAAATGTCTCTACAAAATGTCTCTTCCTGCCCGCAGATTCCTGCCTCTTTACCTCTTCAACATCTGAATCTTTCTGAAATCATCATTTTCAATATTAGATGTATATAATAAAATATTTCCACATATTGACTTGCCTTCTGTATTGATTCCTGGTTTTCCACCATTGTGGTTAGAAAAGACTCTTGGTTACACTAGATGAACAAATTCTAGAAATGTGTGTGGCCTAGCACCGGGGTTAGCAAGACTGCACTCCCAAGGGCGTATTGTGTGTGGGGGGGGGGAGGGTTGGTAGATCTCAAGTTAAATGTTTCTTCAACAAAGAAAATGTAAGAAAACCAAACAAAGGTGCACAAGGGAACTTTGTTGGCTATGTGATGGTGTTGGGGTGCTCACGCCCAAATTCATCTCATGGCACACACTAAATGCTTGCAGTTCCCTGTAAGTGAATTATATCTCAGTTAATGGGGCTGGGAAAGAAGCTCTGCTCAGGTTTGCCCAGACAGGAGACGCGCCACCGCGGCCGGCTTCGCCGCGCAGTCCACGCTATCTGGCTCCCCCTCGCGGTGACAGCGCGACACAGCAGCCCCAGGGCGCCGGATGTCCTTTTCATGTCTAGGGAGAAAGTGCGGGTGGCGGGAGACAGGGAGAGAGAGAGGAGGCGAGTGGGAGAGAGAGAGAGGGAAGGAAAGGTGACGGGGAGAAAGAGTGTCAGAGAGAAAGAGAGAGATAGAGATGGTGAGAGAGAAAGAGGGAGAGACACAGATGGGGGAGACAGAGAAAGGGAGAGTCACAGAGAAAGACAGAAACGGGGGAAGAGAGAAAGATGGAGTAACAGAGACGGAGAAACAGGAGGAGGGTTGCCAATCACTGAGAGAGATGCGAGCTCAAGACAGACATCCCCTCGGGTACAGAAATATGAAGACAGAGGCACTTCTTACATTCTTGGGTGGGGGGTAGATAGAGAAGTACAGAGATAGAGAGACAGATGGAGAGAGAAGAGAGAAGAAAGAGATTGGATTACTCTATTTTCTGCAAACTGGTTAGCTGGACATTGAGGTCTTAGAGTCACTTCCCCGACTCTCCCTGGTTGAACTCCACCAGCCTGAGCACCCCCTCAACCTCTTTCCCATCAGAGCCATTTGCACCTCCTTGTCATTTTTTCCTCACCAAAGCTGGGGGACTCGCCCCCACCCCTCTGAAGCAAAGGACAGCCAGGCCGGGCGCGGACTGGCCACGGGGCATCCAAGGCACAGAAGGAGAGAGATAGACACACAGACAAGCAGGGGCAGAGAGGGAGAGATTGGTCCAGCACCTATTTACTGAATTACTGGTGGCGTTCCTGGGGCTGCCACAGACCCCTCCTGTCCTGCCTGCGGGACACGGGCGGCGCCCCTGGTCGCACCCAGAGGTGCTGACCCCCTCCACAGTCGCCACAAGCAAAGTTGTCTCCATATGTACCCAGATGCGGGGTTGGGGAGCACTCCTGGTTGAAACTTCAGGGCTAGGAACAGAGGGATGAGCAAGAGGGATGGACTCTCTCCACCGGCCATAATAAGGGGGAGAACAGACAACAACTCGGATACAAGCAAACAGGGCGGCGGGGGACTCAGCCAGGGAGCTGTGGGGTCCGAGGGGACTATAGCGGGGCAGGTAGGGGTGCAGAAAAATGGGGAGGCTTTGTGTGGGGAGGGATACGCTAAGGGGCATACACACGTGCACGTATGCCCACGCACATGCACACACAAACATACACACGCAAACGTACAGATGCACACACACGCACGTGCACACACACACACCTCCTGGAACCGGGCAGATAACTCTCAGCGAGGGCAGACACTCTCCTGGGTCTTGGGAGAAATTGAGGAGGGGACGCATCTCCCTGCGATGGAGACGCCCTTTTCTTATCTCACCTGTCAGCTCTTCAAAGTCCCTGGAGCGGGTGACTCTCCGCCCCCTCCGCGCTTCCCCCGGCTTCCTAAGCCCCCTCCCCCACCCGCCTTCCCCCGCCCACCCCCTGCTCTCTTCTTGGGAGACATAAAAGCTCCGCTGTCTGGATGGAGCTGCCTGAGCTGCCCACAGCACCCAGGTGAGGTGGAGAGGGATGGTGACTGGGAGGCAGGAAAAGGTGGGAGGTGATGGCGACCTGGGAGCACTGGAGACGTGGAAAGGCGGGGAGCAGACAGGGGACAGAGAGATTTGGGGACAGAGAGATTTGGGGACAGAGAGATTTGGGGACTGAGCATAGGAGGGATGGAAAGAGGGTGTGGCTGGTGACCTGGTGCCTGGAGCAGGTGATGCAAGAAGGAGAGGGTTAATTCCTCTACAATTCTCAAGCCTGGGTGGTTCGGGTATCTTGGGGATTTTGTTTGCTAATTTCTTGGCCATATTTTATGGTCCCAATACCTTGTTACTTAATTCAGTATTTTCCCTCAACCAACTCTCTTAAATGCATGTGTTTCAAAATTTAAAATACTGTGTTGTATCTTCGACCCTTCAATTAAGAAGATGGTGTTAGACCTGTCACACTGAAAAATGGGAAGGACTGGGGTGGCTCAAGATGCAGTTCCTGTGCTTTAGGAAGCCAAGGTGGGAGAATTTCTTGAGGCCAGGAATTTGAGGCCAACTGAGGCAACCGAACAAGACTCCCTATCTGCAAAATAATAATTAAAATATTAAGCAGATGTGGTGCCACATGCCTGTAGTCCCAGCTGCTCAGGAGGCTGAGGTGGAAGGTTTGCTTGAAATCAGGAGTTGGAGGCTGCAGTGAGCTATGATTCTGCCACTGTGCTCCAGCCTGGGTGACAGAGCAAGACCTTGTCTCTGTAAAATAATAATAATCATAAAATAAGTGGAGAGAATAGATGTCACATCAGGTTCTTACCAAAAGAAACCACCAAAGAACACTGGCAAGTTTTGGAGGTGGTGAGGAATATGTTTTAGCACTTGATTGTAGGTAAATGTCCAAATTCATCAAGATGCATACACTTTTTTTTTTTTTTTTGAGACAGAATCTCACTTTGTCAGCCTCAGTACAGTGCTGTGGCATCACAGCTCATAGCAACCTCAAACTCTTAGCAATTCTCCTACCTCAGCCTCCTGAGTAGTTGGGACTATAGGCACCCACCACAGTGCCAGACTTTTTAGAGACAGTGTCTTCCTCTTGCTTAGGCTGGTCTGGAACTCCTGAGCTCAGGCAATCCACCTGCCTTGGCCTCCCAGAGTGCTAGGATTACAGGGGTGAGCCACCGGCCCAGCCAAGATGTATACATTAAACATATGCAATTTTTTGTTTATCAATTTGACCTTGGTAAAGCCAAAAAATAAATCTCTTTGTCCCTGTCAGAAGTGCACATGGCCTCCCCTTTGGAAAATAACTCTCCATGCTCTCTTTGCAGCATTCTGCAGCTGTGAGCATCTGTCCCCCAGCACTCAGATGGCTCCCTCCCTCCACTTGGTCCTTCTTCTCTCCATCTTGCTGAGCTTGGTGGAGACTCCAGCTTCTGCTCCTGCCCACCAGGTAACACCTTCTAAGTTCCTCAGCATAGCATCTCCAATCACTGCCCTCTAGGAAGAGTTTTAAATATTGTCATGGCTTGAGCTAGGAAACAAATTCATTTGAAAATATGAGACTGATCAGGAGCTGATCTTGGCCCTGGAGGATGAGTAGAACAGAGGTGAAAAATGCAGGGCCAGGGCCCAGCTTTCTCAAGCCTACATGTCCTAATAACTGGCATTGCCCAAAGATGCAAAAAAAGTGTCTTAAAAGGCACTTGCTTGTCACTCTTACATTTTCCAACCTTTTAACAATGGCCAGGAATAGTGGCCCACACTTATAATCCCAGAACTCTGGGAGGCCAAGGTGGGAGGATCCCTTGAGCTCAGGAATTTGAGACCAGCCTGAGGAAGAGTAAGACCCTATCTCTTAAAGAAAAAAAAAAAGAAAGAAAGAAAGAAAAGAAAAAGAAAAACTAGCCAGCATGGTGGTGGGTACCTATAGTTCCAGATACTCAAGAGGGTGAGGCAGGAGGATCACTTGAACCCAGGAGTTTGAGGTTGCAGAGAACTACGATGTCAGCCACCCAGCCTGGATGATTCAGAGACTGTCTAAAAAAAAGCATGAAAATTATGAGGGAAAATACACACTCCTGACACCCAATCCAGAGTTTCTACTTGTTATCCAAGGATGAGGTAGGGGCCTGAGAACTGGCATTTCTCCTAAGTCCCCAGGTGATGCTGACACTGATTCTAGCCCCAGGATCACACTTTAAGAACTACTGATTAAGCACCTGGAATTTTAGCAGACAGTTCTCCTTATGTAACCAAGAAGATTAAATAATTAAGAAAGTTTGATGCAAGGATTAAAAATTTTACTTATGGGCAGTGCCTGTGGCTCAAAGGAGTAGGTTGCCGGCCCCATATACCAGAGGTGGTGGGTTTGAACCTGGCCCCAGCCAAAAACTGCAAAAAAAATTTTTTACTTAGGAGGAATAAGCCCAAGAGATCCAGTGCAACACAGTGATGATAGTTAACTGAAATGTAATGTGTACTTAGGAGAGTAGATACAGTGTTTTCACAAAAGAATGGTAAGTATGTGAGGTAATGCAGATGTTAATCAGCTCCATTTAGCCATTCCACAATGTGTACGTATTTCAAACATCATGTTGTACATTGTGCATATATTTTATGTGCAATTTTTCTTTGTCAGTTTAAAAATGCTAAGAAAGGTTAGGCATGGTGGCTCACACCTGTAATCCCAGCACTCTGGGAGGTCAAGGTGGGTGGATCACCTGAGCCCAGGAGCTGAAGACCAGCCCCAGCAAGAGCAAGACCCCATGTCTACTAAAAATAGAAAAATTAGCCAGGTGTTGTGGAGGGTGCCTGTAGTTCCAGCTACTGGGAGGTTTGAGGCAGGAGGACCCCTTAAGCCCAAGAGTTTGAGGTTGTAGTGAGCTAAAATGCTATGGTCCTCTACCAGGGGTGACAGAGTGAAACTCTGTTTCAAAAAAAAATTAGAGGTCCCAGGCTTGGCATTCGCTTCTCTGAATTTGGGCTGTAGCTCTCCTGCATGCTGGCTGGGTCCTTAGAAGGCTGTTTACATTTCTTTGAGTCTCCCCCTCTGCATAGCTAAGGGATAATGCTAATCCTGTAGGGATATTCCAGGAATTTTGACAAGATTGTGGAGAGCTTCCTCATCACTAATGCCTTGAGTGAAACCTTCAACTCCAGTTAACTAATTCTATCCAGCATCCTTTGCAGTTGGTTCCACTTTACTACTTCCCATTTTACAGAGTGGAAAACTGAGGCTTAAATATTCCATGCACATAGCTGTTAAGAATCTGGGATCAG